GTGTAGCTCCCAGTGGCTAAGGAGCCAGCGGAACTCATTTCTGCAACTAGCAAGCAGCCCCGATGCAAAGGCAGGCCCACTTCTCTCAGACCTTTCACGATTCCTGAGCCTGGCACCACATGAGCATTTACCAGATCTGCCCAGGAAGCTATTTTAAAGACACCACCTAAAAGAAGAATAAAAGCTTTGCTAACTTCAAACAAAAACATTTGACATTTTGCCCAACCATCTACAATATGAAACAATCTTTTAGGAACACATTAATGAAATAGTCCAATACTTCAGGAACTATGGTGATCAGCAGACCTAATGTTTACCTATGAAAAATTTATCTGTCCATCTGTAGCTGGTTGAGAGATGATAATCACAAAAACTCTTGCAAGCTCTACACTTGGTTTATCAGCAATACTGATAAGACTGCTTTTCTTGTAGGCTGAAGCCTGTGACTTCCAATAAAGCTCATACAATTAGAAATGGGCTCCAGTGAAGATAAGTATTTTTCAAATTTATTTATTGTGGTTTGGGTACAAATTTACAAAGCAGATTTGTTTTACTCTCAACAGTCCATGAACATTTGGTTTCACAAACCCAATTACAATTTCAACAACAACAACAAAAAAGCTTTCTTCCTACCTCTTCCCTGTGACTACTCCTTCCCTGTGTCCTTATCTATGCATTCCTGTCTGTCCAGCTTTCCCTCTATGTAAATGCTGCCTTTAGGATGGGCATTTTTTTGAGGTCGAGGATACCAACACTCTGAAATTCCTCTGAAAATGACAAATTTCCATTCAGCAAGGATTTCTCAACAACTGTACTATTTCACAGTCCTCATATTCGTTCCTTCAACTCCTTAGCTCTTCAAATTTCAACTGGCAACTGTATTCATTTTAAAAGCTGATAACAGTACCCTTAACCAATTTTTGACAAAAACATATTCAAATCTGAAGAAAAGTAGGTATGACCTTGATGTCAGTTAATAAGCCAAGTAATGATGACAGTAGGACATCTTAAGCACATGAAGAATGCCACAGACAAATCTAAAGAAACAGCTTAAAACCATGCATGCATTACTTTAAAAAACAAGTGTTATTTCAACAGAGCTGGTGATTAAGTGTTAAACAACTTAACAGGATGTCTGCTATAAGATTAAATGAAAAAAGGATTTTGTCTGTGTGCATATGTACATATACAAAATCACATTTGTGCAAAAAATATAGACAAGTTTCTACAGAATGGGTAGCAGAATTAAGCATTCTTCCCAACAACCACATGATCTACTTGAGTTCTTATTTGAGATAAGAAAAAAGTAAATTTTCTTTTGGGGGAAAAAAACCGATGTACATCAAAAGATCTTTTCCTGTTGAGTATGTATCTCACCATCTTATAATGATTTTCCCTTGTTTCTGTATCTTAAAATATTCAGAACTCAGTGTTCTGCTAGGGCCAATATCGTCATTTTGGCCTACCCAGAACTCATGTCCCCTTCTGCTATCAGCACACCTATTTTCTTTAGGGAAATTACCTCTCACAAGTTTCAGTTCCAGATTTTTTTTTTATTAGGATTTGGGTGAAGATTTAGAGTAAATTCACTTTTCATACAGCAGTTCACATATACTTTGTCTCATGTCATTGACCAAAATTTACA